TCTCCACTTACTTCCAGAGTGGCTTTGGTCACGGGCCACCACCCTTGTGAGCCTGGGTCCCTAGTCAGAGGTTATAAGAGCTTCTCCTATATCGGGGTGCAAGGAGGAAGAGTTGAGGCAACTCACCCTAACAAGGAACCTTATGCACATCTATGCAGCCTGAGGGGACCTGCGCGAAGGACAGTTCTGGACCCTCAATACACACGAGAGCTGCTGTGCTCAGGGCTCCGTTCTAAGTCGCGACCAGCTCATTTCAGCAACCCTGGGAGGGAATACAAGGAGCAACCCATTTTACAGATGAGGAAGCTAAGGAAGCCAGAAGTGCCAAGTAGTACTGCACTTTCCCAGGATGAGAAGCCGGAGCTCTCCGCCCCAAGGTCTGCTGCAGAGAAAACTCCCACACTCTTCCTGAGGCTGGTCCTGGCCCTGTCCATGGTCTCAGGGAGATTTTGCACCTCTTTGAAACTGGAGCTGCAAACTCTAGTAGAAATGACTGCCCTCCCCTTCGTGGAGAGATGACTTTGCCTCCGTGTGTAATTCCGTTCCTTTCCTCCATGTAAATGTGTGCTTTTGGACTTTGCCTTCGAACCAGTTATAACAGCTGTCTGGTTCTCTCATTGTTTGACAAGTAAAATAAAATCCTGAACGCACATTTCATTTTTTTCACATGTCCAAGAGTCATCATTTTACCTTTTTCTTGAAATGACCTTTTCACAGGTTTGATAGCTAAGCTGGGTTATTATGGCAACAGTCCTAGAAATCCATCCTCCCTTACTCCTTTCTCGCTTCCAGGGCTCAGGGCTCAGCCTTTCTGTGTGTGTTTTCTAGAAAACCCCACAGGGATGCTACTTCTCACCTCTCAGTTTGCAAGTGAGGAAATAGGGGCTTATTGAGGCAGAGACTTAGCCAAGTTTATACAGCTGAAGTCCACACTTTCCCTCTGGAATTGTGTGTGTGTGTGTGTGTCTCCTTGACTAGATTGTGAATCTGGCTCCAGATGGAATCCAAGGGCTACATCTGGAAATGGCCTGGCACTTGTGGGGAGCAGGTGCAGCTGTGGTCTCTAAGAACAGGCTCCACAGGCCTTGGCAGGGGGCCCGATCTCAAGGGAGAGAGGCTGTAGCATGACCGTCGGTGATATCTTTGCCCTCTCCTGAAGAACAGGCCGGGTCACATAGTGGCTCCTTCTGTCCCTTCTTAGAGCACAGAGAAGCTTGCACAGAGCTCTGCCTGTATGTAATAGAACCCGGACTTGAACTCAGGAGCTCCGACCTTGTATGCTGCAGACCTCAGGACCTGGACTTAAACCCAAGGTTGTTCTTCTCAACTGTGTTGGCCTTGGGCAAGCTGCATAACCTATCTGAGCTACTTAAGATCTCATAAAAGTAGCTTTAAAAATTGAATTAGATAATGTAAGTCAAGTTCCAGACACATGTTAAATACTAAAAAAAAACAAACAAACAAAAAGAAAAACAACCAAAAAAACAACCCAGCTGCTTTCTAAAGCCTCATTATCTCAAATAATGAGCCACCACCGAGGAGCTCCTGCCAAGGGCAGGGCACCGTGGGAAGCGCTGCCGTGACATCATCTCCGGGAATCCTCCCAATAGCCTTTAGGGTGATACCGTTATAAACCCTGTTTGACAATTTGATAAGTCATTGGCCCAAAACTGCACAGAGAATCAGCAACAAGGCTCAAATGTAAACAAAGAGGCCCGACTGCAAGACCTGGACACTTTCTACACATTCATTCATTTATTCATTAATTCAATAAATATTTATTGGGCATTTCCTGTGTCTGCCAAGCGCTGTTCCAGGTTCTAGAAGTAGAGCAGTGAACCAGACAGACACAAATCCCTATGCTCACCAAGCTGACGCTCCAATTAGGGGAGCAAAACTTCTGGTCCTTCAGGTGAGGCTGGTCTCCCATCCCACCTACCCGGCCGACTGTGGGGCTTCACAGCTGGAACTGGGAGGGTGCGGGTGCAAGAGGGGAAAGGATCAGGACAAATCTATGAAAGGACAGACACAGGAATGCCTGCTGAAGGAAGAGGGGAACGTGGGGAAGAGAATGGCCTCAGAAAGGAGCAGAGCAGACCCTCAGTGCCCACCCCCCAAGCCCCGGGGTCAGTTATACCCAGAGGTAAAAGCAGGTATTTCCATGTGTGAAGACTCTGACTGCACTGAAGACAGAGTCTGCTGGAGGGCTGCCAGCCTAGGGCTCCCCTGTATCTCTGGGTAGAAAGAGTCAGGATAAGGGAGAGGATCATCTCATCCTGCTTGGATGCCCTGCGCGGGCATTTGGGTGAGCCTAGCGCCCTCTTGTGGTCTCCATTGTCCCTGCATAGACCCTCCCAGAGTCCCAGTGGTTGGCGGGACCGCCAGGCCTAGACCATCTCTGTCCCCAGCTTGGACACTTTTCCCTATTCCCAGCCTTTTCTGCCTCCTTCCAAACGCTGAAAAACTCAGTTATACCTTTCTCACCTGTTCATCTATAGGCCTCAGAACACAGAACTTGGGCACAGCAATCCCCTGGGATGCTATCGGCGGGGCACAGGCAGTGGTGAAGTGTGTAGGTCCACCATCTGGTTCAAATCCTGAGTTTGTCACTAGGAGCAATTGTACATCCCAGGTGCGCTTACTTTTTTCATTTTAAAAATGAGGGTCATAGTAGTTCTACCTTTAAATAGTTATGGGAATTAAATGAAATAATACTCATTGGCTAATTTATATGGTAAAGCCCTAATACTGTCCCTGTTCTCCTCTCCCCATACACCTTCTATGTTCCTCCCCTGCATTCAGGGGCCTGAAGTCTGACATTTTCCAGAATGACTTGCCAGCAGGGTTCAGACAAGATTCAGTCAGTGGGAGGCAGCAAAGGCACATTATTGCTTCTCCAACAGAGTCTGGAATCTAGAGTTTCAGATTCACTTTTGCTGCTACCTCTGCAGGTTATTCCTGATGCTACCTCAGGACAGGAGGGAATTATGGCCACTGTTGGAGCTTTTCCTGACTTTCCTGAAACTCCCAAACTCTGAAAGCAAGAGGCGGTTTTCCCTGGTTTTTACATTTCAACCAATCGAGTGGTTTTTCCAGCAGCCAATTTTTCATATTATATTCCTCCCTGCTGGATGTGGAGCAACTAAGGCTCTCATTCACTGTTCATGGCAGTATAAAATGATGCAGCCATCTTGAAATCCATTTGGCAGTTTCTTATAAAAATATGCTACTACCCTTTGACCAACAGTCCCACTCCAAGAATTTGCCCATGACAATGGCCACACCAAGACTGGTACAGTAACACTCCTCACAATAACCCAGAAACTGGAAATAATATCCAAATGTCCTTGGATAAGGGGATGGTTAGACTGTGGTACATCCATACAATGGAATATTACTCAGAAATGAAAAGGAAAAAGCTGATATATACAACAACATGGATGGATCTCAGGCAAGATGATGAGTGAAAACCTGGCACAAAAGAGTATGTATTGGGCCTCCCCGGTGGCGCAGCAGTTGAGCGCTGGGTTGCAAAGCCTCTGGGTTGCAAAGCTGCAGCCTCTGCAGCGCCAGTTCGGTGGCCTCCCCGGTGGCGCAGCAGTTGAGCGCTGGGTTGCAGAGCCTCTGGGTTGCAAAGCTGCAGCCTCTGCAGCGCCAGTTCGGTCCCCGGCTGCTCCCCAGCCACTGGAGGAGGGTCCCACATGGCGTGCAGACCTCTCCTGCCGCTCGCTGCTCCCCTCAGTGGTGTACTTCAGTCCTTCTGCCTGTTCTGCTCCCCGCTCTGGCTCGGTGAATTCTCTCACCCTCCCGTGCTTCTGACTGTACCCAGCGCTTGTATAAATAAATAAATAAATAAATAAATCTTAAAAAAAAAAAGAGTATGTATTTTATGTGTCAGCGATGGAGGATGCCAGTCCCTATATAAGAAAGAAATTGCCAATCAGTTGTGAGGAGTGATGTGATCAACAGCCTCCAGCTGCAGCTCCTTTGGGATAATGCTGAGGCCAAGCTCTTCACAGCAGCCCACTTGGTAACTGGGCACAGAGGGGGTAAATGACAAATGCTTGGCCATTCCTGCCCAATTTGGGACTTGATGGGAAGTCCTTGCACTGGGGTCCCCTATTGGGCTGATTGAGAATTTTTCAGAACCAGTGAAGACTGAGTCTCCTTCTATCCAACCCCCATTTCTCCCCACTTCTCTTGGTATGAAATTCCTCCCCATTGACTCCTGTTCCTGTCCCTTTCTCTTCCACAACACTTACTTGCAATAATTGCTCTAACACTGCTTATTTTATTCTGTTTCCCAGGACTCCCATCCTGCTCAGATATTTCATTTATACGAAATTTTAATAGAAGCAAAATTAATCTATCAAAACAGAAAGCAGATCAGGAGTTGCTTGGACCAGAGGGCAAACAAGCCAGTCACAAAAAGACACACCATGCTCTTTACTCATGAGGCACCTAAAGTAGTCAAATCCTTAGAAGCAGAAGATAAAATGGTGACTGCCAGGGATGCGAGTAGGAAGGAAGGGGGAGTTATTGTTTAATGGGTACAGAATTTCAGTTTTTCAAGACTTACCTTGCAAAGAGCCCTGGATAGAGATGGTGGTGATGATTGTACAACCATATGAATATTCTTAACACTACTGAACTGTACATTTTAAGATGGTTAAATTTTGTTGTGCTTATATTACCACAATAAACAAATATTAAAACAAATAGAGTTATATTAAAATTACACTTAAAAAAAAGTCATCTCTTTTGGGTGACAAAGATGTTAGGCATCCCGCTGACAAGGGGGATTGGAAGTCTTGGGTTCCAGTTAGTACTGAATAGTATTAATCATGGAAGGCATCCTGAAGGAGGTGAGGTGGTTGGGCTGATGCCAAAGAAGAGTTCCAGTGGTGAATGATTCCACCTTAGTGACTATCTGGGTCCCGCCCCTCAACTCACTTCTTCATGGTCTCCAAGGAGATAGGAAGCTTGGAATACCCATATTGCTGTCACTTGGCAACCAGGAACTGGTGGCTGCAGCCCCTGCCATGTTCTTTCCATCATCCTGGGCCCTCGTCTCTGGCATGGGCTCTCTGCTGCCCAAGCAACGGGGGCCCAGCTAGGAAAACACCTTCCATCTACTTTCTTCTCAGCCACTCACAGGTCTCACAGAGAAGACTGAGACTTGTTGATGGAGGTAAGTCCATAGAAAGTTATAGATGGACCAGGCACAGGACATAGGCAACCTCCAGTCCCAAGGGATCCTGACATTTGTTCCCATCCATAGAGGATTCTGGGGTCGAGGGTAGAGGTAACACAGTATTGGTGCTCTGGGGGTTCATAGCCTCGTGCAAGAGACAGATCTCACCTTGTTCTTTCAACACAGAGACAGCGGGGCCTACCCTGTGCTGGCTGTGAGTCCACCGATTTGCAAAGGCACTTTAGGGAGAGCGTTAGGCGTAGCAGATGCTGCAGAGTGCCCCACTCATTCCTTAGCAGCCACCTCTAAGCACCAGAGGCTACTTTCTCTAAGCTCTGCAGCTCTTTGCCTGAGACTTTTTCATGCTCACAGAAGTAGTCTTCAACCTGTGGCAGACAAAGAACAAATGGGGGAAAAAGTACCCAAGTTTCCCTCACTTGCCCTCAATCAGGACAATTCTGAGACACGCTCTACATTGCCTTCCAGAGTTGCTGGATAGGACTAAGCTCCGGGTGCCCAGATCAGTCAGTTGATCATGTAACACTGTCTTCCCTTCTTTGCCTCACTACCCCACTCTCTTACTGCTATTTTCTGGAATCAGCTCCCAAATAAACCACTCAAATCCTTGTCTCAAGCTGTGTCTCAGGGAACACAAGCTTGAGCAATGGAATGATGGTGTATAACAGAAAAGTAGTGCTCTGTGCCAGTCTAGCTATAACCAACTGTATGCAAAGCAATGGTGAGCCAAGAGGGTGCTGAGGGAGCCGTGGGTCCAAGTGCAGGAAATGAAGGTGTGTATTGTCTGTAAAAAATCTAAATAGTATAAACTGAACAAAAACCAGTCTGCTTTTTATTATCACTATGACCCAGCCATTCCAATCAATTTTAGTGATAAAATTCTCCTCCTGCAAATCTGGTAGTTCTTGCTACCTAATGTCTAACCTTTGTCATCCTACCTATGCCAAATGCACTGAGAAGAAAGTAGGTAGAGAAGGGTAAGGGAAGGTCTCGCTTGGGAGGCAGCATCAATCCTCTAATCACATATTAGCTACATTTCCCATCTCTGTGTCTTTGCACATGCTATTCCCTTTAACTAGTTCCTCAGTGCACTCCCAATCTCCTGTTAAGGTTCAGTGCAGTTGGAAATACCTTCCTCCAAGAAGCCCTCTCTGACTTCCAGCCTGAATTCAATGCCTCCTCTGGACTTGCAGAAACCTCCAAGGGCTTCTCAGTTATGGCAGACTTTTTAAAAAATAATTTATTCTCTTACATCTTTGTTAATTTTGAATAGTATTGATTTCTCCCCTCTGGTGTAGTCCTTGGAGTTCTCCCACCACCACCGTGGCACCGGTGATCCATCACCACAGTCTATTGTGCTCTTCCATCCCCTGTTTTGACCCCTCCTCTGCTGGATTGTGGCAGTTTTCATACTGTGTTACCTTGTAATTTTTTTGCCACTAGAAGGTGAGCTCACAGAGACAGGGAACGCAGCATGTTCATTTGGGCCTGGCTCACAGTAGGTACTTAGGAATGGGGCTGCCACACTGGACAGGCACCTTTGTGCAGTGCACAGCCTGCATCACCATGCATGGCAACCCACTTTGGAAACTTAATGAATGATTGAATGAATGAACTGATGGGATTTTCAATAACAGAGCAAGTGAAAGCAGGAATTTCCATAAATACAGAATTTCTATTTACAGACTATAGAACATACTTTAAGGAGATAGCAATGCAGTAGCAGAGAGGTGCAGAGTTTGGTGCAGAGGTGCAGACATCCAAGTGAGAGATGATGATGGGGTACACCAGGGGACTGAATGGGATGAGGAAACTGAGTTTATTTAAATGAAACAGTAAGTGGATTTCAGTGAACTTGTTGAAGGAATAAAAGGTGGTAAAAATCATGAAAGCAACAAGCAAATAAGTGATTCAAATTTGGTAGTGGGTCAGGAGTACCAGCTCTAAAATTAGCACCTATCTTCTTGAAGGAAATGGTTTTAATTCTCTGAGTTGGCTTTGGTCATCCGCAAAATGGGGATGCTAATGGAGGATAGTTAATAGAGTTGTTGGCAGAGACGTGAAGGTTTTGCACACTATAAACATTTAATAAATGTTGGCTGGATGTGTCATCATGGTCTAATTTACCTGTCTGTGCCTCATTTTACTCATCTGTAAGAGGAGACTACCACTAATACCAGCTTTATAAGGTTGGGTGGTAAGTTATAAACAAATGAATAAAGCATTCAGAATAATGTGGCACATAGTAAGCACTGCCAAACATGCCCACTAAAACTATGGATATATTTCAGTCATATTTCTAACCTTTACCCCGGCCTAACGATCCCCACCCCATTTTGCAGATGGGAGAGAAGTCAGGGACTCGAGCAAAGCGGCCTCTCCTCCAGGACCCAACACCCAGAGCGTAGCGGTCCCGCCTGCTACCCTGGCCGACGGGGCGTCCCTCCGTGAAGCCCGCGCTCCCGGAGGCCCGGATCCAACCGCGCGCGACCTGACGGAACCTTTTAACATTGCTCCGAGTTTCCAGCCGGGCGCACTCGCGGAAGTGCTCCGGGGCTTCGCGCTACTTCCGGAAGCCGCGCCCCGCCCCGCCCCCTCGGTATCTCCATTTTGGCCGCAGGTGGAGACGCAGCTTGGATAAGCCGAGCCGCAGTGTCAGCTGGACTTCGAGGGCCGAGGAGGCTCACCGCCCTCGTCTCCCATTTTCCTTCCCCCAGCAGAAGCCGTGAGCGCGCATGGCGGGCCTGGAGGTACTGTTCGCGTCGGCGGCGCCCGGCATCACCTGCGCGCAGGACGCGCTCGTCTGCTTCCTGCACTGGGAGGTGGTGACGCACGGCTACTACGGCTTGGGCGCCGGCGACCAGGTACGCCACGGGGCCGGCCTGAGGCCGGGGTGGAGGGAGAAGGTGTCTTCTGCGCAAACCCGGGGGGCCAGAAGTCAGACTTGGGGGTTCGTGACACCATTGGTATAGCCTGCGGGTCAAGGAGGACCCTGCGATCCCAGCGCCCTTCATCCACGCCGCTGGCAAGCCCTGTCCTGCGTGGACAGAAACTCCTCCCTTCGGCGTAGTCTGGAGGATTTACAGGCCAGAATTCTGTGGTTCTGGCACCGACACCGGGTTGTAACTCCCCGGAGTACTCCTTACTTACCTGAATTCCACTGAGTTCCATCCCATACATTTGGGGGGTGGAGGGGTGGATTGTACTCAATACTGCCAGATATCTGGATCCAGGCACACTTTAGGGGTCAGTTTTGACCTACTCAGCCGCAACCCAGGGCCCTTTCTTCACTCCCATAGAGCTCACACACACTTGCCTTACCGAAAGGCCCACTGCAGTCCACACGCTGCTGTCATGCCCAGCGCAGGCTCTGGAAACCACCTCCTCTCTCACACACGTAAACATTCACCTTGAGTATTAGGATCCAGTACGGTTTTCTTCCCAGCAGGACCAGCCCCTCCTGCTCTTCCATTCTCAGGCTCTGCCCCTTACAGCTGGACATTGGTTGTCATCTCTTCAGAACCCCGGGATTACTGGACCCAGTTCACCCACTAATTCGCATTCTCCTGTCTTCCTTTCCCCTTCCCTGCGCCTCTCACATACACATCTGCCTCCTGGGAGACTTGGACTTGGCCCCCTTAGTACCCTTTCATTTCCTATTTACTGTCTTCACATGCACACTCTTGCACACTCAGGACTCCAAGCCTGCCCCTCACTATCCTTGCTCATAGAACCTAGAGCAGTTCTGAGGAGCAGGGCACCTCACCCTTTGTAGCTTACAGTGAGATTGTAACTTTCCTCTCATTTGTAGCTACTTCAGTCCTCCAAGTCCCTAATGCTTTTTGCTTCTCAGATACATAATCTTCATTTGCCTTTTCTGACACAGTTTTAGGGATTCCTCCTCGGACATAGTTCGTACATTCTGAGCTCTTAGTGCCAGGTAACCCTTCTCCCAGGTGCCCCCATTCCTCTGTCCCTTAGAACTGAGGACCAAGACCACCACATGCCCTCACGCTTCACCCCCGCCACCAAGAATTGCCATGGATTTCTGGCTCTTTTTTTCCCTCAGACTTCAAATACCTCACTGGGAACCCATATACACACTTAGCATCCCCCACTCCCTCCTTGAAGCTCACACATGTCATCCTTCATGTAGACTCTGGCACTAGAGATGAGAGTACAAAAGAAGGATTTGCCTTTTTCACACACACCTAGAAACATATCTTCCTCGCAAACACACCTGTCTTCGGCCTTTCTGTTCACCCTAAACTTCTTTCCACTTACCTTGCCTTTAAACATTTCAGACTTTGGGACCAGGTAGATGGAGCCCTCACTCACAAGTGCCAGGCTTTCCCTTTCAGTGCATTGTCTCCCCAGCAGAAACCTTTACTCTCTTCACTTGCCTCAATCTAAGAGCTCTTTCAGTTTCCCCAGTCATTGCAACTTTTTTAGGAAGTTCTCCTAGGGATCTGTGGTGTAGGGTGGTGCAGGGGACAGTGAGATTGGAGGGAGGAGTAAGACTCCCCATGGGTCCTCAGGTTCCCCATCACTTGCCCTGTCCTTCAGATCTAACACGTCTACCCTGCTCTTTGCAGCTCATGTGCCTCACTATTCCCAGCCAGCTGCTTGTACTCTGATGCAGAATTAGAACCTCCCCCGCCCCAACCCCAGAACAGAGGACCTGCTTGACTTCTCACCATCCCACAGATACCAATTGTCACCTCGGGCCTCCTAGCTAATCTCATCCCCTTGCCTTATACTCTGGGCCCCCAAATTTTCAGGTGAAATGTGCAGAAAGAATACCATCTCATTTTAATACTGGCTTTAAAAAATAAATCAGAGATCCTTCACTGATTCACTGATTCCCAGAGGTCCATCTAAGTCCACTCGGCCCATGGTGCCATGTGTTGGTTCTTGCAGGCCAGGAAAAAATGCTGGCTCTACTCATATTAGGGGAGGCCAGGAAGAATGGGGGAGAGGGGTTGGAAGGCATTCCCTGGCTGTCCACCCCAGTGCTAAATCATGCATGCCCTCTGCAGAGCAGCTGGGGTTTGTATTGCACACTAGAGTGTGGTTTATTTTTGCTTCTCGCTGCCTTTTCTCCTTAAGTGCCTCTGGGGCTCAGGTTGCTCTTGTCCTCCTCTCACTTCTGCCGAGTCTCCTTTCTTTGGCTCGAGGCCTTTTGGAAAGGCAGCTTTCCTAAGAGTCAATCGTCTAGTCTGAGGCTCACAGACTCAGATGAGAACAGTAGTGTTTGTCAAACTTAGAGGATATGGCAAGGCAGACCTCTCCTGTCTCACCTGCTGCTCCTCTCAGCAGTGTACTTAGATCAGTCTGCCTGTTCTGTTCCCCACTCTGTCTCTGGTGGATCCTCTCACCCCCCGCATCTCTGGCCTGTACTCCAGCTCTTGTATGCATAAATAAATAAATCTTAAAAAAAAAAACCTCAGAGGATGTATGTATTTCCTCTCCAGCCACCTGCTTCCCACTCTTTTGAGGGTGATAAGAAAAACAAGAACGTCCTAAAAGTGTTTACTTGGTCCGTCCCAAAAGTGCTTACTTGGTCATTTAATATGTTAACAAATAGAAAGCTAAATTTTCTACGTGCCTTCTTGGTTTTGTCTCCTCTGGCACAGGGGAATTGTGTGTGACATTTGATTGGAAGAGCAATGAAGCCTTTGGTTTCAGTAAAAATCCAACATTTGAAATTGAATTTCTTTCTTCAAGTCAGCACCACTCTGCTAGAACTTTACAGCTCGGACAAGTGGTTTAAGGGGGCAAGGGAATGGAGATGACTATACACTTCAGTTAGAGAATTGTGGTTTCTGTTGTGGGACTCTAATGATTATGAATGAAAGGGGGGAAATACCCAGGGTGAGCTATTTGAGTTTCTTTGGGTGTACTTCAGCACAGAGGCACTGGGATGAAGTGAGTGGCCATTCAAGCATCCTTCCAGCTCTAGGGTTTTGCCTAAGGGGACAACTCTCTTGACTTCTTAGGGCCATTCTGCTGGACCTGCCTGGCACAAATCTTTAGCCATAGCTCTGGCAACCAGGAGCTCTGAACACTAAGCTCTGCACCTCACTGTGACCTTGAGTAGTCCTCGGCCCCTCTGAGCCCTTAGGTTTCTTAGCAGAGGGAGTTAAAGTACACAATCATGCTTTTTGGCTGTTTTCCAGTCATAGCTTTCTGGGAAGCCCGATAGCTGATGTCAGGGCCCAGAGGGCAGTTGAATGCCATGTCTGGCCTGCTATCGTCAGGGCCAGCCCTTCTCCATCCCGCCAGTATTCCCCGTATCAAGGCGACCCTTGGACGGGGGTGTGTTGTTCCACTCAGCGAGAGGCATTGCCTTCACCTGATCCCGGGATTCTCTCTTGCTCTGGGAGCCAGAGGTTTTGGAGTAATGACCAAACTATCTGTATTCCAAGAAAAAATTCTGGTGGGTTGAATGATCTACACGGAGAATATACATATAAACTCAAAGGTCCCTGACAGAACAAAAACAAAAAAAAAATCATATTGTCATATTGGCTTCCAAAGTGAACCTTAAATCCAAACACTAAACATGTCACAGGACATATGTTGTGGGTGAGAGAACTGTTTCTCTTTGATTTGTTTTTTTAGTTTCACTTTTGTTTTTGTCACTCTCGTTTCTCTGCTTCAGGCCTGTGGGTTCCTTTGTCATCCAGACAGGCTTTAAGATATGCCAGTTGTGTGTTGTAAGCACTTGATTTTCATTTGGGATGGCTCCCCGCATTGGAGTCCTGAGCCCCAGGGGTGATGAAAGAGAAGAGGCCTGCAGTTCTCCATCATGGCCTCCTATTGTCCATGGTGTGTTAAAGTCTGTTTTACTTGTCCTCCGTCTTCTGCTGCTGTTCTTCACCTTTAGTGGCACTCTGTCCTGCTGTATTCTTATGAATACAGAGCTTCCCAGTACAGTTAATCTGTACTTAGCTGTATAAATATATATCCACAAAAATATAGATTTTTTTGTGGGGGAGGGGGTTGCTTTTTAAATTTCACATAAATGTACCGAACTGTAAGACTCACTCTTCTTAACTTTTGTCATATTTTTTACTTTTAAATTTAGTGCTACAATTAGATCTAGTTTGTTCCTTCTAACTGCTGCATGGTATTCCACCAGGGGCATATTTTGTATTTTCTCTCCACTTCAGTGTCCGGCTAGTTACAGTGAAGTTCCTTGTCATTTCCTTACGTCTCTGTGCCAGGGGTTCTTGCAGGAGTGAAGGTTTAGGTCATGGGGTATCACCTCACCTACTTGCACTAGTTTCTGCCAGATTGCCCTCCAGAGAGTTGTGCGGTTGTGACTGGCCACCAGAAGTGCCCAAAGGTCCCCATCCTCTGCCACACAAACACCTGCCACTAGAAAAATGAATAGGATACCTGGTAACTCATTACTTCAACCTGTGCTTCTCGGATTGCTAGTAACCCTGTATGAAATGTTAGCTACTCTTTTGCTTCTTCATATCTTTTCCCCATTTTCCAAGTGGCTTCCCAATTTTTATTGTTCATTTTCCAAGTATTCCTTTTATGCGCTATTCATTCTTTTTCATTTGAAGTTGTGGCACATATCCTAGCCTGTGGCTGTAGTGTCTATTGTTAAACAGCTTTAAATTGTGAATAGTTTCAAAAACTGCACTTTTTTCTTTTTTGGACCTTGGCTTAAGATCTTTCTCCTGCTGAAAATTTCACTATAGAAATAGTTTGAGAACTGTTTCTCAAATTTAATGTGTAAACGTCTTAGGATTATTTAAAAGAAAAGAAAGGAGAACATCACGACTCATAGTAATGTATTTTTATACTCACACAATTGGCAAAATTCAAATGTTGGACACAGCAATGTTGCTGACCACAGGGAACAAGAAGAATGTTCGCACACTGCTGATGGAAGCATAAATCAGTACCTCTTTGGAAAATAGTTTGATTTATCTTATAAATTAAAAGCCCTTTCCCCAGATAGTATATAAATTCATCCACGTGTGCTAAATGTGTATTGGAATGTTTATAGCAGCATTGTTTCTAATAGCAAAACACATGAATTGGAGCCAATCCAGATACCCATAAACCAGCATATGTGTTACTTGCAGCATATTCCTACAGTGGAACACTATGCAGCTGTGAACTGTAGCAGTGGATATTATATAGTGAATCACCTATGACTGACTGACATACATTGATATAAATAAATCTCAAAAAGCAGTATCAAATGAAATAGGCAAGCAGTAAAATGATGCCATTATTATAAAATGAAAAAACATTTAAGATAATATATTTTTAGGGTTGTGTGTATAGTAATACAACTATAAGGAAGTAAAGAAATTTTTAAATACAGAGTACTGGTTACCCTTGAAGGGAGGAGGGAGATTCCTTGAGGGTAAACTACTCAAAGCTTTAGCCCTATTGTTGATGTTCTCTTTCTTAAGCTGGTGGTAGACACATTTTATAATTCTTTTGTACCTAGTACAAATACTGCATTTTTATGTGTCTATGAAGATTATTCATATTTACTGTTAACCCACTACAGTAGTCAGGAAGGGGGTGTATTAGAGTCTGTGCTTGTAGTCAGCACACTACTGATCCTGAGCAGAACTGCCCTAGAATTTCACAGAATTCCTTGAAATGATTGGCCTTATTCTTGCCAAGGTGACAGGAAAGAGGTGATTATTAAAGGCTGCAGATTCTTCACAGGTTCCAGTACTGTGTCATAAAGGCAGTCAGGGCTGAGGGAGGAGCACTAGATAGAGCGTTGTGTCAGAGAGTAGAACCCCAGCCACTAACTTGCTGCATGGCCTTGGACCTTTTACTTCTCCTGACCTCCACACCCTTGCCTATGAAATGAGGGAGTGGGATTAGATTATTCACTATGAGGTTTTTTATAGGTCTTTGTTCTGTGGCTAATGATCTTCTCAATCCGGTGTCTTTTCAGCCAGGGCCTAATGATAAGAAATCAGAACTTCTGCCTGCCAATTGGAACAGCAATAAAGACCTGTATGCCCTCCGCTATGAGTCTAAGGATGGGTCCAGAAAACTCCTCGTGAAGGCCGTCACCGTGGAGAATAGCATGATCATCAACATGCTGGTGAGTCTGGAACACAGAGGGGTTGTTGGTGCGAGTGGACATGGGGGATGACGTTTTGAAACCCAGTTAACAGTATGAAGCCAGGGTCCTAAATGGGAGACCCTTACCCAGTGATCCTACTTCTGGAACTTTATCATGAGACAAGAATCCTAAATATAGAAAAGCTTTGTGCTCAAAAATGTTCCCCACTGGTATTTAAAAGGTGCATTTGCCCTCACAGGAGAATGGTAAGTAAATTAGGGGCAATCCATTCAGTGACAACATGGCACAAAAAGCTTATTGTTGCCTCAAGGGGCTGATTTCAGTTCTTCAAGTAAGTCTAGCTCTGTGCTGCCTTGGAACCTGTGTGCTTTGTTTCCTGCGCTGGGGTGCGCCTTCATCCACGGTGACTGCCTCGTGTGCATTCACATCCTCACATCCTCCACCGTTCCTTTTGTCTGGCTCACTTCCTCTCATTTTTCACGTATTCAAAAAGTTCTCACCTGCCGGAAAAATCTAAATTATGCCTCTCTACACCATCATTTTCCTGCCGGGTACTTGCCACAGTTTGTAATTATGTACTTATTTCTGCTTTGGTAATGTTTGTATTTCGCCTGGTCTGTAAGCACCAGTTTGTCCTGACTGTCTCTATATGTTCATTTAAAAGCATCGTGCAGCCTGTATTGTCCTGCGCCTTACTTTTTTTCACCCAGTATGTTTTGGGGGTCTTTGTATGGGAATGCTTATAGCTCTACATACTCACTTTAACTGCTGTCTAATATTCCATAATGCCATAATTTGTTTATACCTTTTACTTTTGATAAACATTTACATCTTGTGTCAGACAGGGTTCAGAGTCATAAACAACAAAATCCCCTCAGGTTAATGATAAACCCAACGAACTGGGATAGCTCATAGAATTGTTGAAAAGAACCAGAAAAACAGGTCAAGACTGGGGCTTCCAGGACAGCACCCCAAACCATGCCATGGAAACCAGTACTGCTGTTGCTACCCCGAGGCATCAAATATTGGCCGGGACAGCGGCCTTGTTGCCCCTTATCATGATCTATTGACGTTGTTGCCCCTGCTATCTCCACTACTGCTCTCAGCGAGGTCCTGCCCTTTGCGGGCCTGCTTTCTGCGTGACAGTTGTGAGTCCCTCTGGCACTTGGATTCCAGGCCTGTGCCCAAGCTGTGAAAAACGCCTGGGAAGTAGGTTTTCTGGGGTCTGCCTGGGAAAGGCTATATTCCTAACTAAGAGAAGCCTCCACGCATTAGACAGGTATTTCATATGTTACAAACAGCCCTTATGTGTCTTTGTGCATATATCAAATATTTCTTTAGGTTGGACGTTAGTTTCTCTTCTCCTCCCACTCCCACCCTACCACATAATCATTAGCCCAGAAATAGCCTGTCTCTCGTTTTCTTTTTCAATTTTTCTAGGAATATGGCTCACAGCAAGTGTCAGACTTGACCCTGAACTTGGATGATTATATTGATTCAGAACACCTGGCTGACTTCCACAGGTACTTCTAAATGATGGCTTTTCCCCGGGGAAAAAGAAGAGAAAACCAATGGCCAGATATAAGGATGGGATGGAGGGGTCCAGAGGAAGGTTTACAAAGGATCTTTAACTCCTGGGCATAATCTCCTCTCGGTTCTCTTTATCATGCCGAGAATGTATATAGTCAGAGTATTGCATTCAAAAGGTACTTAATGTTTTTCCCCCCATGATTGTAATAAAGTTATCTGATATAAATTAGATCCATTTATTTCTGCTTTATTCCATTTTAGGGACTTTCCCTCATCCTCATTGACTTTTCAAGTTTAGAAAGGAATCTGTTATCTCTATAAATTCACAGCCACCAGAACTGCCTAGAAATCCTTTTATGTTTAAATCTGTCTAGTCAGCAATTACCATTTTGAACCTAGTCCAATCCTCTCAGGCTTCCAAACCACCTACTTCCATCATGTCTCTACTATCTCTCTATGTCTCTGTCCCGCTTCCACACAGCCTCTCTATGTGGATATATCCTGACTTCCTCTTCTGCTCACTATACTCTGCTTGATTTCCCACACAGCCATTACACCAGCCTTTTTAAGATATAGATAAGATCATGGATAAAATCCTTGCTTGACATCTCTTAGGAAAGAAGGGAAGGATATTTAGAATCTAGTAAATGTTCTTTGCCAAGTTGAAGTTCCCCTCGATTCCAGGATTGCTGAGAGTTTTTGTCATGAATGGTTTTATCATCTTAGATTTTCTCCAGTGCTTTTTTCTGCATCAGTTGGATATGATCATGGTTTTTCTTATTAGTATGGTCAGGATTTGTGAGTATTGAATCAGCCTTGCAGATCTATAATAAATCTATGATATACAATTCTTTTAGTGTATGTTTTATATTGTTTGTTGTTCAATTTAATAGTTTATTAAGAATTTTTTGGGCCTCCCCTGGTGGCGCAGTGGTTGAGTGTTGGGCTGCGAAACTGCCTGCAGCCTCTGCAGCGCGGGTTCGATCCCAGCCACTGGGAGGGTCCCACATGGCGCAACAGACCTCTCCTGCTGCGCCCACTGCTCCCCTCAGCAATGTATTTCGTCAGTCTGCCTGTTCTGTTCCCCGCTCTGGCTCTGGTGAATTCTCTCACCCTCCCATGCTTCTGACTGTAACCAGTGCTTTTATAAATAAATAAATAAATCTTTAAAAAAAAATTTTTTTTTTTTTGCTTAAGTTCATGGGAAATACTGATTTTCTTTTTGTACTCTCTTTGTCTAGTTTCGATATCAGGGTAATACTGGCCTTCTAAAATGAATTGGGAAATGTTTCCTTCTGGAAGTGACTCTAAACTGGCGTTAATTCTTACTTAAATGTTCGAATTTGCCACTGAAATCATCCAGACCTAGAGATTTCTTTTTTGGAGGTTGCATAACTGAATTTGACTACTTTATTTTTTTTTATTTTTTTTTTTTTAAAGAGGCATGTATTATTTATTTGTTTGTTTGTTTGTTTGTTTATACATGCACTGGGTACAGTCAGAAGCGCAGGAGGGTGAGAGAATTCACCAGAGCCAGAGCGGGGAGCAGAGCAGGCAGAAGGACCGAAGTACACTGCTGAGGGGAGCAGCGGGCAGCAGGAGAGGTCTGCGCGCCATGTGGGACCCTCCTCCGGTGGCCAGGGAGCAGCCGGGGATCGAACCGATTGAACCGGCGCCGCAGAGGCCGTGGGCAGCTTCGCAACCCAGCGCTCAACCGCTGTGCCACCAGGGAGGCCTGAATTTGACTACTTTAATAGAACTATTCAGATTATCTATTTCATTTTGACTAAGTTGTTACTATTTTGTTGGTGTTCCGAGTTGTTGAATTAAGTTATTTCTAAGTATTCTCTTATCTGTTCAGATGCTATCGATCTGATGTAATGTCCCACTTCATTCCTGATAACTGGAGACTTCTTTTCTTTATGTTTGACAATCTTGCTAAGAGTTTATCAGTTTTATTCATTTTCTAGAACTTTAGTTAGCTTTATTGTTTTCCTGTTTGTCTGATTGATGTCTGTTCTTTATTACTTCTTCTGCTTGCTTTGGGTTTAATTTGCTCTTTTTTTCTAAGTTCTTGAGGTTATACTTTTGATTATCTTTTTCATTATAATTATTTAGTGTAACAGCGTGTCCTCTTAACACTGCTTTAGCTGTACCCCACATATTTCAATGTGTTGTTTTTTAAATTTTAGTCAATGTTTTGTATTTTTTCCAAAACTTCCTCTATGATCCATGGATTATCTGAAATTCTGTTGCTTAATTTCTGCATATTTAGAGACTTCCTTTCTTTTTTTGATATTAGCGTTACTCCACATGGTCAGAGAACATATTCTGTATGACTTCAGTTCTTTTACTTTTGTGAGCTTTACTTTTTGACCCAATATATGGCTTATCTTAAAACACCAGAACTCTGGAGTCCTGCTTATTCTCTGTTTCCTCACATTGTTCTCAGAAGCAGAGAAGAGAGGTCTAGACTAGCTTTCCGAGGACCCCTGAGATAGACCTTGAGCCCCCAGAGCCCAGCCTACCTGGATTAAGAACGTGGTTTGTCTTCCCATGGACCCTTTGCCTCCCATGACACATGTGATGACACACAATGAGATTGAGGGAAGGGTGGGGTAGGGTAGGTGCAGAGGAGTATCCAGTCCAGGCCCTGTGCCCCTCCACCCTCACCTCTTTCTAATGGGGTGGTAAATGAGGAGGGGCAACTCAGATGCCTAAGAAGCTTAGGCCCAAATCTCGGAGACAGTGTCGGGCTGTTGCCCCCCTCATCCAGGTCCGCCGGACGGGCCGTTCCCACCCTGGCAAACGATCCAGGCGCAATGCCAAGAGTTACCAGGGTCGCCGCCGCCATTACTGCCGCCGCCACCGTCAAAATAAAATATACAGGGTTGCCAACCAGGTGCAAGAAGTTGACACCTCATCTGCTTCCTACAGGACCTATAAGAACAGTGAGGAACTGAGGTCTCGTATCGTGTCTGGAATCATCACACCTATCCATGAGCACTGGGACAAGGCTAGTGTAAGCAGTCCCCAGCGGGAGTTTCCCCCTGCTACTGCCAGAGAGGTGGACCCACTCCGGATTCCCCCACGGCACCCACACACCAGCCGACAACCTCCCTGGTGAGTACAAAGCCCCCAATGGGCAGCCCATACTTGTGCAAGAGGACTCCAGCCATTAGCATCCTGCCCCTTGACCCTCTTTCTGGTCCCCATATGTCTTCCACAGAATGGTCAGGGTCTTGGTATGTGGATATATGTAGAGAATGGAGACGTAAGTGAAGCACTGAGTTCTTGTACAGATAATGCTATGCAGCATTATAAGGTTGCCTGCCTCTTTCCAGAGACCACACAGAGCCCTTCAGTCTGCCCAGGAGTCAGTGCCTCTGGGGCTTGTTTTCAGTAATCCACGTATTTCAGTTTGTTGTTTTTTAATTTTTATTCAGTGTTTTGTATTTTTTCCAAAACTTCCTCTATGATCCATGGATTATCTGAAATTCTGTTGCTTGATTTCTGCATATTTAGAGACTTCCTTTCGTTTATTGATATTAGTGTTACTCCAGTCAGTTCCTAAACTCTACGGCTGTGCAGGGTCCCTGACCAGACTTTCAGGGAAAATGCAGAAGTGCAGAAGTACTTTCCCAGAGGTTATGTAGTCCCAGAGTCTTGCCTGTTTCATTTCATTGTAGTCCCTGACTTTGACAGCTTCAGAACTTTACCAAAACAGCAAAGGGTATGAGCAAGTCATGCCTAAGATCTTTGCAGATAAGGATGGCAGCATTTAAAACTGGAAAATTCTGCTCTGAGGGAAGAGATGAGGACTAATCAGAGTCTCTGAGATGGCATTTCCTAGTTGGGACGCCAGAGTGTGTTAGTAAAGGTGAGGTTTGGTTTGCTTGGGGCCATAGTAAGCACTCATTGTTGACTGCTGCTGTTTTATTCTGTTTTGCAACTATAATCCTTTAGTTGGGTGTTTTGTTTTCTTTTTAGTAATTATTACAAGTAATAATTGGCAGTTTTTTTTAAGATTTATTTATTTATGCATACAAGAGCTGGGGTACAGGCCAGAGATGCAGGGGGTGATTGGATTCACCAGAGACAGAGTGGGGAACAGAACAGGCAGACTGACTGAAATACACTGCTGAGGGGAGCAGCGGGCGAGACAGGAGAGGTCTGCTTCGCCATGGGGGTTGCTCTCTGGCTGGCCAGGGATTGAACTCGTGCTGCAGAGGCTGCAAATTGCTTCATAGTGTGGTGCTTAACCCCTTGCGCCACCAGGGAGGCCCTAATTGGCAATTTTTTGGGGCAGTCCTGTGGGAAGAATGAGACTAATAAAAAATGGTTGAAAGGGCCTCCCCTGGTGGCGCAGCGGTTGAACGCTGGGCTGTGAAGCTGCCCACAGCCTCTGCAGCGCCTGTTATATCCCCGGCCACCGGGGATGGTGCCACATGGCTTACAGACCTCTCCTGCCACCCGCAGCTCCCTTCAGCAGTGTATTTCGTCACTCTGCCTGTTCCGTTTCTGGCTCTGGTGAATTCTCTCACTCTCCCTGCTTCTGACTGTAACCTAGTGCTTGTATAAATAAATAAATAAATCTTTAAAAAAAAAAAATGGTTGAAAGGTTGGAAACAGCTTGTCTGACCTAACCTTCTTAATTTCCAGACCAGAACAGCGGTAAGATGACCTGCCTAAGGTCACTGGCCACTAATAAGAGGCAAAACCTGGGACCTGGATGGGTGTTCTCACTCCCAGCATAGTGCTCTGCCTGTGTTGTGACCAGAATTTGGTGGCAAGCATAAGCCCTGGATAGCAATCAATGTGTTAACCTTACAAAGAGTAATTCCTAGCTCTCTCAGACTTGCTGCACATTTCAGAAACAAATATTTTGTGAAATCTCCTTTATTCTCTTGCAGTGAAATTCATATAGATAATCTAACTCACCAAATGCATAAATTCAACAGGATTTGGTGTCAAGTCCTAACTATAATAGAAATATAAAGAGAGTGATTGACAGTAAGGTACTATGTGCGTCACCATGCAGCAGCCTGAGCATCATTACACAGGACAGCATTGCCAGGACCGCTGTACTGAATTACCTTGAATTCATCGATAACAAAAGCTGGCACGTGCAGATGCTGTGTATCAACAGCTCAGATTCCACAGACTGTATTGCTATTACTAATGTGACTTTTCTGAAATGGTCAACAGTTCTTGGAAGAATGGCAAAAAAAATTAGTAGATGGGCAGTACTTCCAGAATTATATCATAGTTAACATTCCTGGAGAAATTTGTTTGTATTAAAATAGTATAAAAGTATACTTTGGGGCCTTACCGGTAGCGCAGCGGGTTGAGCACAGCTCTATGAAGCTGTCCGCAGCCTCCATGGCGCCAGTTCGATTCCCGGCCGGCCAGGGAGAATCCCACGTGGCGAGGCAGACCTCTCCCGTCGCACCCGCTGCTCCCCTCAGCAGTGCTTTCGGTCCGTCTGCCTGTTCTGCTACCTGCTCTGTATCTGGTGAATCCTCTCATCCTCCTATGGCACTGGCCTGTACCCCAGCTCTTGTATAAATAAAAATAAATCTTAAAAAAAAAAAAAAGTATAGTTTGTGTTCATATATAAAATGGTCTTAAAGACAAATGACTTATGTAGATTTTACACCTCGGTGAATCTAAAAAGACTTTAAAGTGTGGGATGGAGGCCATTCTACCATCAGCTGTGGAACATGCAGCATCTCTGGTCTCTGCCTGTAAATGCCATGAGGACCCGCCAACCACTGTGACAATAAAGAAGCCTTAGGGCTTCCATGATGGCATGTGGAGGTTGCGCAGTCCTAACTGGGAATCAGAGCTGGAGTCAATAATTGTGCAGACGAAAAATCCTAGCTTTGGAATAACTGGAAGAATTAGAAAACTGCCACATTGCAACTTGCACCAACATAATGTAGATAACTACAATCTGTTGATGGTGCTAAAATTATTGGGGAACTCTGTAATGAATGTGTCAGCTGACAACATCTGAACCCATAGATCAATCTTAGTACTAAAAGTTGGACTGCCAGGCTTTGTCTTCTTCTCTGACTAATATGACTAGTAAGTGAATCTAGCTCTAACTCCCAGTTTAAAAGAAGCATGAAGAATAGAAGAACAAGTTAAAAAGCTATGTGAGAATACATGTGTCTAGGCAGAACTGGAAAATAAAAAAAATTTATGTGGTAAAGTAACCTTGTTTTTTCCTTCAAGTAAATGAGTGGTATTGGAAAGAAAAATGAAAGGAGGAAGACTTAAAAAATCGAGCCAAATCCACTAAATACAATATTGGGCTTTAGATCTTGATGCAAACTAATTCTGAAAATCACTAATTCGACAAATTCAGCTAATTTGACAAATCGGGGAAATTTGAATGTGGACCAGGTATTAGGTAACATTAGGGGTATTACTGCGTAAGGATAAACATCTAAAACAAGGGAATAAAATTGAGAGTCAGGAAAAAACCATACATTCTAGGGCAGTTGATTTCAACAAGGGTGCAAGACATTTCAGTGGAGAAACAATACAGTTTTCCATCATTATCCAGAAGTAGAACATTCCTATAAAACCTTTCATAAACCTAAATGACAGAAAGCAAAGAAGCAATTTCATTAATTTACATGGAAAAAATTTTGAGTATTCCCAGACCCAAAATGTAACCTACCAAATCATCCTAAATAACACATAAAACTAGTAAAAGAAAAAACAAGAAAAAGCAGGAATGCAGGAATACACAACCGAATTGTATAAAGTAGTTCCTATGGGGGGAAGGCTATTTATGTAAAGGGTGCTTGTTGGCTCTGACAGCTCGCTACAAAACTGCAACCGAATGCTCTTTTCACTTTTTTCCTTTTGTTGAAAAAGCAAAAATCTTCGTGTTTATTTCAGTTAGCAAGAACTGAGATGTTGGTCAGTCATACAGCGGGGCCACTTAGGTGTGAGAGTATTACCCAGAGGGGATGTTAGGCAGTTCTGCTTAGGTCCAGGACCTTTATGATCGTTGTTTCTGAGTGTGGGAGCACATACTGAGTGTGGGAGCAACTGCCACTTCTCCACCATCCACATTTTGATTGCTGAACCAAGTGCTTTCATTTGTGGTTGTTCATCTTCCAGACAACCCTCCAAGATGATCAGTGGCATCCCCACTCCACAGGGGTAGGCAACAGTGGATGAGGGAGGTAGCTTAAGTCCCCAGCTTAAGTATACTGGCATACTGGGAGGGTATCAGAGGGTGCTGAAAGGGTGAAGCCTGGGATTTACTGCTTTGTGAATCTGACTCAGAAGTTTATTTCCTCACTGCACCTTTCAGTTCTAGTTCATGTAATAGTCAACCTATGTGCAGGTTCAGTTTAGTGAGTGTACCCTGATTATGGAGAAAAATCTTTTCCCCTCCCTCCCCATGAGGTTTTTCTCAAGCAGACCTGCCTCCCAGGACTAGGACTTGGAATTGTATGAGATAGAGAGGAGGCAGAGTGTTTAGGAGGCTTTTTTGTCAGCCACTAGTGAGTTGAAAACCTATCAGGTCTTCCCACTGCAGTCACCTGCCTCCTCCTCCAGCACACTCCTTGCCAGTCCCCTTCCTCCGCACAGATGACTAATGACACCAATTCATTATTACAGTGCGAGCGCGCGCACACACACATACCCATGTTGCTGAGCAACCAGGCACTCGCACTTTTTACCTTTTTGTTTCTCCTTGAAATGCTTGATTTGGGGGTGGGGCCTTAGGACAGGAAGAAGGGAAAGAGCACACCACAGCTGAGCCAGCTGACTGCGGCAGGGTGCAATTACCTGGTCACTGAACACCCTTGGCTTGTGCTCAGAGTAGGAAATAGCAGCCTCCGCCCCTTCCCTGGAGGACACCTCTTGCCTTCTACACCCCATCTTGCCTACCCCACAGCTGGAAACCTCCAAATGCAAACCAGTGTGGGGGTGTCTAACCCAGTGCATAGAGACACTAACTTCCCTAAATGTGTGGTGACATATGTCCAAGGTCTGGTGATTTCATGCCGGGTGTCCCTCGATGAGGAGTAGAGATGGACATTCCATTGTGCTAGAGGATTGGGAATAAAACATGGATCTGTCTTAATCCAGAG